CACCCCCCCCCCCCCACAAGGACCGATACCAGATCGTGTGGTGGCACCTCAGAATCCTCCCCCCCCCCCTGGCCTGTGGGACATCCGGTCGACTGGAAACGCTGCCTTTGAATGTGTGCGGTCCACTCTCCTTGGGTCTGAACGGCTTTGTCTGGTCGGGACGTAAGCGGGGACGAAACGGTTGCCTAGGAGCGGCCTTCTCAGGGCCTCGTAGCTAAAATCATCGGCAAGGGTTTTGACCGCCACCCAGGCCTCACATCCATTAACGGCAACAAGTCATCATGTTATTGCGTTCCTCCGGTTGCGTTGGGAGTCATGCAGGGGCCGGGGTTTTGTAGCTTCGGGAGGAAAACCTCCCTACTAGTCTGCCACGCCACGAAGAGGCAAAACACCTTGTGGACGCGCTCAGGTTTCCTCGGAGACGCTCCGCTTCTGCGAACAGTCTTTTCAATTACAAATCATGTGACTCTGTCTTACTTATATCCTTGGGTACGTGGTATGAAAAGTGAATGGCCTTTTGCTCGCAATCGACCTACTTAATGTGTGTTATGACACAGGGGTGTTACAAAAATAGGTTACGACTTACTGACCTATCATTGTATCGTTATTATAAGGGTTTTACGCATATATGTTTAAAAATGTATAAACATAGGTAAACGTAAAAATATATTTTCGATATTATGAAGAACTACAGATAAAGAAAACTTAAATAAACGTCTAAAGGGAAATTTTCTTTTCATAATATTTTTTTTTTAATTTTAATATTGTTGTACTGTTTTTCCGTAAACGTCTTTAAGGTAATATATATTTTAAATCTAATACTAATTATAAAAATAATTTAAATACAAAAGGTCATCAAATATAATTAGAATGTCTGCAGTTGTATAGTAAACTTTCAATTATTATCTTGACCTTGGCATTAACGTCTAGTGATTCTAGTTTTAGTTTGGGGGTAATTCAGTAAAAAAGATTAAGTGGTCACGATTAGACTTTACATAATCTTTGGACCCGCCATGAAGTCAAGAGATTTGTGCTATGAACAATTTCCCCGCCGTGTGCCACTTCAGCTGAATGCCAAGCAATTAACACCCACTTAAACTTGCTCAAATCCAAAATCCTGTAATAAATTAACTCTTGCTCTATTAAATACACTGTTGTCAAATGTAAGCGTTCATTATTCTCAGCAGGTTGAGGACACATTATTTTTTCTGCATTTAAATGCGAACTCTTTATTAAATTTTTTTTAAAAGTATCACTATATTATTTAGTTTTAACAGAGGACATCATGCTAAAAAAGAAAATAATGTTATTGAAACAATGCACTTGAGAACAAACGTACCGATTTTATTTTAAATAATATTATTTGTATGTACTTAATTATAAGCTTGTTTGGGTTTCATTTGTTTTTTTAATGGTAAACAAAAGAGAATAATCTATTTTTTGGCAGAATATATGGAGTAAGAATTGTATTCGGCACATACACTGCACATAGTTGTACGGTTCTATCTAAAAAGAAAGACATGTCGTATTTTATCCTTGCTTCTTCTGTGCTTCTGATTGCTAACAATGTAAAATGTAACGGTATGTATTAACATTGCTTTAATTTTTTTTTTTTAAATTGTAGAACAGTCTTTAATCGATGTTAAATATTTATTCCTTAATTAATATATCTTTCTTATATATATATATATATATATATATATATATATTTAAAATGCGAACCGATTTTGAGCTCTGTGGGGAAAACTCAAATTCAATTCAATAAACACACTTATGACATGTCATACTTTACATACATTTAACTTTAAACCATTTTGCTGGCCTCAACCGTTGCTTGCATTCGTAGTATTCAAAATGTTTATACTCTCAAAGGTATAATATTAAAAACAAAATCATAACTACTCAATAAACAACACTATGGGATAAACAAAAGCAAGTTTTGAGATAGTTACTTTTTACAAACAATAACCCGAGCTTTAAGAGGAAAATATAAATTCAATCAGTTTTACATTAATTAAAAGGTTTATTTTTAGAAATTAGGCATACACATCAACTCCAAGACCTAAGGTTACTAAGTGTCAATTATTAAAGGGACTATTTAATTTATGGGGACTTGAATTGGTCGGCAAATGCAAAGTTGACATCAAATGGTCTAGGTTCATTATTTGAATTAGCAGCACACAATTCTTCTTTAATATTGTAACACAAATATAAAATTATTGTGCAAATATACTTACTCAATGCTATCATTAAAAACATAAATTACATATATACTTATTGGTGTTATTTCACCTTAATTAATGTTACCTTTTTTGTTTGCCGCCACCTTAAAACTTGGCATGGTAAGAAGCATGTTGAGAAGTCGCAAAAACTATGTTTCTTACAGATTCGCCAGGGTTTTGCTACGAGAACGACGCGAAGAAAACCCTTTTCGCCGAGATTGGTGAAGATTTGGATGTCCCAATATGCCTGACTGGTCCTTCAAATGTCGTCGTCAATCCACTAGTGCTGCAGGGGAACGAGCTGGTCAACAAACACAACTGGAGGACGTACGTCAGACGTGGTCGAAACAACACTATTAACGTCCATGTGGTCATCGACGATATCTCTAACAACGATTTCGGAGAGTACATTGTTATTGTGTCAAGTGGTCCAGACAATGCGGATGCTCCTCGAAGTCATTTACGGATAAGACATACATGTTCGAATTGAGTTCTTGATATTTTGTTAACAACTAGCAATTCATAAGTATATCTTTCGAAATCATAGAATTTTTAAAAAAAATTAAAGTAAAGAATAACCATTTGCTTTTTAAAAAAAAAAATTATCGTAGAATATTTGTAAAAATTTAAAAAAAAAAAAAATCAGATTCAGGCAGTTGAAATGTATACAAGTAGTTCTGAATTAGTAAGTTATAATTATGCTCTACCAAAGTGATTTTTTTACAGGATAATATTAACTGCTATTTATCCAATGTAGGTAAAACACAAATCAGACTGTATTATGAAAATATGCCAGGACACTAATTATATATTAGTTATATATATACATGTTTCAAATTAAGTATTCTATCTTTTAGTTGCTTTTATTAGTTTTCATCTCGTGGTAATTTTAAGAAACAAATACTCTTCAAGGATTTTTATTTTATAATTTTTTAAATTGTGTATATTCTAAAATTATTGAATGTCATAATTTTAAACAATAATTTTTGTTTTTTTAAAACAAAAAAGTAATGATACTCCTATTTTTTATGTACATAATATGCATCTAACTCAATATATTACTTAATATGGTTGACAGCTAAAAAAAGACTATGTCAAGGACAAGAAGACGTGATGAAAGTTGTGGCTGGCCTGGGAACAAGCCCCGTTTTGACATTTTGTGTTGAGGCCCTCATGAGAAGCCCAAATCTTCCAATTCTGAAAGTGTTTGATCGATGGATCAGACCCTATGACCACGGTTATGACAAAGTCAACTTTTCGTATGTATCCGACACGAAAACAGGTGGACGGCACAGCATCAGCGTATCTTTCAACAACATAACATCGGAGGATTACCAATATGTTACTCTCATTCTCCTGACTGGTTTTCAGGAAGAGATTAAAATTCTAGCACGAATCAAACCAAAAGGTATCTGAAATAAAAGTAGAGCAAAATATATTTTATGTTTTATATTAGTTTTTCTTATAAAATATGTTTGTATTGTTTATAAAATAATCTCAAAGATTAGTGGGTCATGTGGTTTACTATTTTTAATTTGTCTGTTCAATACTACATTTATTGAAAGGAATCTTTTACAGTTAACTAAAGTATCATTTTTGTATACATTAAATAATTTTAAAAATCAGATAAAATATTTTATATACAATAAATTAGTATACCTTTGAACCTTTCATAACGAGTTTAATTGCGCTTAGCTTGTTAAGCGAAACACTCGTTAAACGAAACAATTTTCCCCATACAAATCAATGTAACATACGATTATGCGTGCCATGCTGAAAAAATAATAATTTTAAAAAAAAAAATTAATAAAATTTATTCAAATAAAATTACATATGAATTGTTAAGGAGTGTAACAACTTGGAATACAATTTAGATTTGAAACACAAAACTTAAATAAAAATATGAATTTATGACAAATAATTAATCCTTTTTAACTAGAAAACTGTATAACGACATTTGTTTTTGCCGACGCTTCAACATTTAACGAAAATGTGTCACAGCATTATCATTGAATACATTTGTAGCACGAATAGCCACCTCCTTGTTAGGGTGATGCTTCTCAATGTACGATGCAACAGTTTCCCATATTTTCAGCATTTCTCTTACTGTGCTAGAAGATTGTTACACTTATACTTCCTCCTCCATGAATGATCTCTCCTCCATAATTTCTTGCTGTGAAACACGATGCAACTCCATAAGCACTTCGGTGGTCAACTCTTGACTGTGCTTTCTAACAAGCTCTTCAATATCGTTGTTGTCCACCTCGAGCCCCATGATATTTGCCAATGACACAGTCTCGTTAACCGTAGACTCCACAGGTACTGTTTCACAATCACATTCAACAACACTCTCTGGCCAAAGTTTTTTCCCAAGCAGAAGTGAGGGAAAAGGGAACTTCCCCTTTCTGCGTAACTTGTTATGCAAAATTTCGCTCGTTAAGGGAGCAACGTCTTCACATTTTTTTTGCTCGTTATGCGAATTACTCGTTATGAGAGGTGCTCGTTATGAGAGTTTCCATTGTATATTCAGTTAATAAAATTATTTAAAAATTGTATGAAAATAAATTGTAATGCACTTTTCTTTTAAGAAACATGCAGAGAAATATTTAGGGTCGATGCAAAGGACGGCTCAGATTTTCTACTGCTTTGCTTTACTGACTGCTTTCCTCGATTCATGGGCATTCGTCGGAAACAAGATGATTTCTATATAAATGAGTGGAACACGACGACCTCAAGAATGAGTTATACGCTCAAAGCTACCCCAATGTATTTCACATGCATGGATCAAGCGAAATACGTGTGTGCTATAACTTACTTGGATGGATCTAGCGTAATGAAAGAAACTGAAGTTGTCTTGCCAGGTGTAAGTATTCAGTTTGCATTCGATTATAATATAGTTTAGGATGACACACGATCCAGTTAGAAGAAGAATCAAAGCTAAATTTAAATAAGCGATTAATCGAGATGCACATTTTTTGTGGAACAAGTGTATGTGGAGACAGTCTGACTGATATATTGACATACGTAGATATCAATTATTGAAGAATAAATGTAAATTTTGTATAAAGTCATTAAACTATTAATTAAATTTTGTTGATCACAGTATATGAATTCAAACTAGTTTTACTATAAAGTTGTGTAATGTTTTGAAACCTTTTTTTTATTACAGTGTCCAAGAAATCACAGTTCGGATGACGTGTGATCCAAATAGTTAATGTTGTGACAAGACTGCATATGGATTTTTACATTTTTTTTTTTTTTTTTTTTTTTTTTTTTTGTGTAATCAGAAGCATCTACATTTGTATTTCAACATTTACATGAATACATGCTAAGCTAATGCTATTACTTGTTATATACTTAATTAGTATCATCAACAAACATCTGTTTAATGAGACATGTCAGCTACTAATATATATATATATATATATATAAGATACATATATATATATATATATATATATGTATATATATATATATATATATTATATACATATATATTTTTTTTTATTATCTTTATAGAAAAACACACTATATAAAAACATATATTTAATAAGAGATATATGAGATTAATATATATATATATATATATATAAGATACATATATATATATATATATATATATGTATATATATATATATATATATTATATACATATATATTTTGTTTTATTAACTTTAAAGAAAACCACACCATAGCTGCCTTGTCAAGAACGGATACTAAATGAGATATGTTTATATAAAACCTGATTAAATTAAACTTGGCATTATTTCTTTATATTTATAATATTTACTGCGCATTAAATAAATTACCACCAGAAAATATAACAAAGTGTTCCTTTCTTTGCTTATATTTTATTTAGTCACTCAAATGGTTTAAGGATAAAAGAATTGTTTTTTTGTATTTGATGGCTCAACTAGCTTAATAAAAAAAATCCTTAATTTTTCAGTTGTATATAAAATAATTTGTAATTATAACTATAATAGAAATATGAGCAAACGGCCAATAGCAGAATGGAACCAATATTATAATATTTATAAGTCTTTATATATTATATGTTTGCATTTACAACTTAATTAGTCATATGTGACAACATATTGAATTCTGCAGGCGTTAGTATATCACTAATTGCAATGTTGTGTACATAGTGTAATTTATTGCCTTAGATAAATGAAAAGTGGAGACACGAACGTTGTACAGAGTTATCTCGAGTCGATATTAAAACCCATGGAAGTAAATTATAAATGCAGTTTGCCCCTAGAGCAGAGTGCTTTAATAACATGGTGAACATTGAAACGTGTGCCCCTAGAACCATGCGCCATTAGATCCATGTGCCACTAGAACCATGTGGCACTAGAACCTTGTGTCACTAAAACCATTCGCCAGTAGAACGTTTGCCAATAGAACCGTGTGTCACTTGAACCATGTGTATCTAGAACCTTCGGCTATTTAAACCGTGGGCAACTAGAACCGGGAGCCACAAGAACCGGGAGTCACAAGAACTGTTTGCCACTAGAGAGGAGTGCATTCCGAAGTGTGTGCCCCTTGAATCGTGTGCCAATAGAACCGTGTGCCACTAGACACGAGTACATTCCGAAGTATGTGCCTGCCCCTTGAATTGTGTGCCAATAGAACCGTGTGCCACTAGACACGAGTACCTTCCGAAGTATGTGCCTGCCCCTTGAATTGTGTGCCAATAGAACCATGTGCCACTAGACAAGAGTGCATTCCGAACCATGTATCACTAGAATCATGGGCCACCAGAACCATGTGCCACTAGATCCGTGTGCCACTAGAACCTTGTGCTACCAGAGCAGATTGAATTTCAAACAATGTCCCTTGAACCATGTTTATTTAAAATCATGTGCCATGAGTACCAGGTGCCACTTGGACTATGTGCCACTTGAATGGTGTGAAACTAGAACGCAGTGCCACTAGGACCGTTTTCCAACAGAACAGATTGAATTCCAAACAATGTGCCCCTAGAACAATATTCCACTAGAACCATGTGTCACTACAAACGTGTGTCAAAAGAGCCATGTGCCACTAGAAAAATGTCCTCCTAGGACCATATGCCACTAGAATCGTATGTCAATAGAACCGTATGCCGCTAGAACCTTGTGCCACTAGAACCTTGTGTCAAATAAGCAGAGTGCATTACGAGCCATGTGCCCTTTGAACAATGTGTCAACAGATCCATGGGGCCATGTTATCCAAGAACAAGGTTGAATCGTTATGAGCGCGGAACTTATATGATGTCATAAGATCAAGTTATCGCAAGAACACAGTGTCAACAGATATAAGTGTGCCACATATAGGATGACATAAGAGCAGGTTATAATAAGAACAAGGTGGCAATATGAAAGAGTGTCACATACAAAATTGCATAACAATAAATTATACCATGAACACAGTGCCAACAGATTAGAGTACCACATAAAAGAGCCCATAATTTCGGGTTATCACAATAACAATGCGCCAACAGATAACTGCGCCACATATTATACAATGAAATAAGGTAACGTAATACCAAGAACAAGGTATCAACTGACACCAATGCCACCACATTTGGCTGCAACCATAACCTGTTGCCTTCAGAGCCTTGTGCAATATGAACCAAGTGTTTCAGAGACAGGCGCCAGAACATGATGCCAGGGACAATCAGAGCATTTTGCAAACATGCGATTTTAATGAAGTGATAAACGTGTCTTCAACTTTAAAGATAAGCATGGAAAAAAAATTAATACAAAGGTAAATATTAAACTTTTAAGTTATTACGTGAAACATTTGTTGCAGTGCAATGCTGTTATATCAAATGTATTATTTGCTTAGGTCTTATGCTGCTTTGTAAGCTAATTTAAAATAAAAAAAACAAAGCTACTTAAGGTTTTTCTGTATGGTCAGGTGCAAGAGAAATTAGAATTTAGGAGCGAAGAGCTGCTAGCAAAAAGGTCAGCATAGGGGGACACCAACTGAAGTCTCAAATGATTTATAACATAACGTAAGGGTTCAATTCCTTAAGTACTTATACAAATGAAATTAATTTAGGGGTGAAGCCGGGGCGTAATGAATTAGAAAAGATTTGGCTGCCTGTTTATTTAGTTTAAATTAATAATATTTTACAGTTGCATATCTTTGAAATATGTCAGCCCCGAAAGAACACATTTGAGCCCTCCCCCTCCCCGGAGTCACCGAGGCGGACACTATTTTGTGGCGTTGTGGCAAATATTCTTCATTTCAGTGTCAATTCATTGGAGATGTAGTCAACGTCATATGAATTATATGAAGTTATCAGAAAAACCACTTGAGTTTTGTTTTTGTTTTTTTGTTTTTTAACGAACCTTGTCTGATCCCACAATTATTGATCAGTAGGCATATCTTGCATGAGAAATGACACATTTATTGCCCTCTAAATATAGCATGCTGGAAAATTCAAACACCATTTATTTCGCAAACACCTTCTGGGATGATTGTCTACCATATTTTCCATTTAATGCATATTAGCTGTGTTGCTCACGGTTGAAATGGCTAGAAAGACTTTGACATTGTATGCTTGTAATTAGTTTTTGTAGTGTTGCGTTTGTTTGAAGTGTTGTAAATAATAGATTTTTTACTCTTGTACCGCGCTTCGAGCCTTTGGGGATGAAGCGTGTTTTTGAAATACACTTTATCATTATTATTATTTATTCGCATGGCTCTGTATATGTTTTGTGGGGGGTGAAGTTGGCAACATGTACTTCTGGGAGTTGGTTGTATTATTGATGATTATTGTCCACAAAAAGTTTCCTTCTTTAAAGGAAGAAATGGTTTACTGTAATCAGATGAAGATTTTAAAGATAATTTACAAAAATTTAAAAAAAAATAACAATATTTTCTAACACATATTTAAATAATAAATCAATTAATATTGTAAGGTTTTGAAAAGACATAACTCCAATTAAATAATCAAAGAAAAGTCTACTGTTGAAATCTAAACAATACTGACACATCCACTTGAAACACTCATAAGACTATTTTAACATTTGGAAAACACGTACAATTAGTCACCTAATTTAGCATGTTTTAAAGATCGAGTATTTTAAATACTATTGATTTTAAGCTTGATAATAAATATGTCGTAGACAAGACAGATGAATCTTCAAAAATCATATCGTATAGAAATCAGCTTCATTAAAACCCTGCCAAGACACTAGAATATCATTTATCGTCCTTCAGTTCACATTTAATCTGATATTTACAATAAATTCGTCTGCGAAATGGTGATGTCGTCCTGCTCGAGAGCCTCTGCGTGTGACAGAAGCTAAGATGTATTATTATTATTAAATATGACTAAAATGATGTGACAACGCATGATAAAAGAACCACACACACGCATAAAACCATCCAAAAGATCTTAGGACATCTTGACTTAACTTAGTGACCTAGGTTTATAGTTAAAGATTAATTAGTTTCCAGAAATTTGCAGTGGAGTACATTGAGTGATTTATTAACATCATCAATGGGCAATACGTTGTGCCTTTAAAAAGAAATTTAAAAAAAACAAAAAACAAGCATTACACTTCATTTCCACAATATTAAAATATGACTTTCTACTCTACGTTTGGCTTTTTATTTCATATGTTAACATATTATGGATATACGCACTTTTATTTAAAATCTTGTAACTTGATTTTGATTTTCATTACAATTATTTCTTACGCTAGAGTTCAAGTTTAGTTTCTCGCCCACATACCAGTCGACTAATGAGGTCAGTACTGGTGTCATATGGTTCAATTGACAACAGACTTTCCACTCGATTAAGAGGCTAATGGACTACTACTTGAGCAGAAACACATTTTTTATAAGACCTTGTAGTATGAGTAATTTGGTTTTTTGTTCAGTTATATTCATAACATCATATGGAAGACCAGCAGTTCATTATTGTGATCGACATGAGGAAACCGAGACTAAGACTAAAAATATTTTGGAAAATTCCCTCACTCACCCCCCCCCCCCACCCTTTTACTAATAACGTGATCAGCATTTATTTGCTCACGAATTAATTCATGAAAAATCCATGTTTTGCGCAATGGTCAACAGGAATTTTCTTGATGATAGTTTCACTTCTGTTGAACTTGGCACTGACCTTAAGATCGATGTCTGGTATAAAATAGCGACCCACTGTGTTTTTGAAATTACTGGCGCGTTCTAAGATAATGCGATAAGGAGTCCACGTACGAGGGCGGTGATTGTATTCCGTTACATTACTGT